ATGTATTATTCAGATATTTATTTACTGGACTGCTAACATCTAACTGGCTATCACTCAATATTTGTCGCCAGGATCGACCAAGAAGAATGAAACGGAAACTTGTGAAATACTTTGTGCTGAGAATTCTATATTGTACCCAAAATATAATATTGAATAAAGCTTATAATAACAAAAAAATTTATCCATCAATCAAAATACGACTTATACAATCTTCACACAATGCTAAAACCAATGACATCCGACCGGTATGAGCAGCTTAGCGTCCTGATCGGTTCTATATCCTCCTAGCCTGTCCACTTGAGTCCAGAACATAATACCAGCTTCTGTAGTATGAATCAAATCATTTATTTCAGACATACCGGGTTTATATATCAACCAAATAGACCGCAATGCACCATAAAATAGGAGATAACATTTATACACAATAAAGCCAAAAGTGGCTGTGAACGTGGGAGATTGTAATAAATAAAATGAGTATAACTTAGGAACAGTAAATCGTACAATAATAATCTATAGGTCAAAATGAAGCTTATAATAAGGGAAATATAGATATACACAATCTAATTATTGAATAGTTATACCATAAGAATATATAAATAAATAAAGAAGAAGCGAATTGAGCGAAGAAATTTCTTTTCAATTAGTTTCTCATCATGGCTCTACACTGATATATATATGATTTACAATAATGATATAATACTCATCGAGTGGATACGTTACGTAATAATAATTACATAATGACATATAAATTAACATTGAGTAATTGGAAGAAAGAGGATTATTAATATTCAAAGTAATTATTCAAAATCAAGATGTTGCTACGTTGTATAATATATGGAAAAGAGAGAAAGAACAGAATTTTTTAATGAATGGTCAATAGAATAGTAGTTACGTAAGAATCAAGAGATGAATGTTGAGAAGTTATAAAGTTCAAAAGTAACAGAAACGAAATTACGAAAGTTAAAAAAAAACAAACAAAAAAAACAAGTGGAAGAAGTATGCAAAATAGTTCTTTTCAAGAAAATCTTATACTGATGGCCAGGGTAGAGGAAGTGATTGTACGATTCTCTTTTGAATGCAAACGTCAGGTTTGTGAATATGAATCGCAATGGCTTCCGCAATGTGCAAGAGGTGCACTCGTAAACCATGTGGCAAATTTGATGGGATATTGTAGATAATCTTAAAAGCTTTATTCAATTCAACTTGATAACCTGTGTCAACCAAGTGAGAGAGGGAGAGAGAATAGAACTTTTAATCCCTTTTACCTGTCCTTTGCTTACCCATGAGGGATAAGATTATTCAGTTAATTTGGCTCAGAAGTTACTCGTGATTTAATCTTCACTTGGATATACCAGAAGATTTCAAAATGCACAATATCTCATTATTATTATTATTATTGAAGTAAATCATAGCTATATGTTAATTATTAACATTGAAAATAGATATCTCAAGTCTGAAATGAATCAATGACCTGAAAAGTCGACTAAAATCGAGTTGATTTAATAACCTTGTGCATAATCGTGATTTATACTTCGCTCGGATATAATAGATCTTTTTCATGATAATTAATTTGTTCAAATAATTATTAAGAACAACAAAGAGAAATACTGTATGTAGTCATTTCTTATTTATCGAAATACTTCAAAAGTACCTTGAAGATTAGAGTTGTATATTTGAAACAGTGAAAGAATACAAAGAAAGATTTAAATGAATGAATAGATGATCATTGATGATAACTAAACATTTGTCAATTACGAACACTAAAATCATAGTAAAACAACATGATAAAAGTGTAAGGACAAGTTTAAGCAATTCTTAATATGATCATCTGATCTTGAAGATAAATTCAACCAAAAAGCAAAGAGTTTGTACACATCAAAAAGTATTACATAGTAGAGATAATAAACCGTGTTAAAGTTTTGTCATTTTTCTACATTTGCTAGTTTATCAAAACTCATTATTAGTTATTTCTAACCTTAATATTGTAGAAATGTTGTTACGTAACATCATGAATCTAAGTGAATATAATTTCACACTGAAATTTTCTATCTGAATTCTTCCATAAAGTCAAAAATCTTGTATAAAACAATTAATTGAAGGTTTACAGAAATGGGATAATGCTGGCGTTAAGTTGAAAAATGAAATTCATCAGTCAGTCAGTCAGCTATAACGTAGGGACAGGCACCTATGTGCATCGATCCAAGTTGTCATACCACATTAACACAACAAGATGAACATCAAATTCATAGAAGTAGTTAATTCAGTGGTGGTAATGTATAAAAGAAAGATTGAATATAAGGATATAATACAGGAAAGAAGAATCGGTTGGTAGAAGAAAAAATATGAAGTGATTTCATCTCATAGTTTAAGGGAAGACAAAGAGTGTATGCACCTACGTCATTGCAATCGATTCTGAGCCATGTCACACACAGTCTCCAACCATTGGTTACGATTGTCACATGGACAACAATTAAGTAGTCTGCATCTACCAACATGGCTCAGACTACAAGTTAGTGACTTCAAGCACTGATGCCACGTTTTAGTTTGGCCACCCCTAATTTTCTTCCAACCGTCTCCAACACAAGTCAGCATTGCGCGTCGTAGTAATCGATGTTCAGGCATACGTAACACGTGGCCCAACCATCTCAGTCGATGAAGATTCACAACCTCATCAACTGATTAACCATCATCATTCTCTAATATCCTGCGTCTAACCTCACTATTACTTACCCGGTGATCCCAGTAGTTGCAAGCAATATTTCTATGACATCTGTGATCAAATACTAGTAGCTTACGAGTATCATCGACTCTTAATGGCCATGTTTCGCTGTTATACATACATTTAAACTAATCTTTATTTTGACATTCCTATTTGATTAGTTCGCTGTTGTATTTACTAAGCTAATCAATACAACTAAGTCAATTGAATTAAAACCTGATTAATAAACATATTATGTAATCACTGTAAGTAATAAAAACTGAATGCGCTTGATACGTTTAACATTCATATGACAACAACAAACAAACAAACAAAAAAAGAATTTTCTTTGAACAATTTTAAGAATTCTAATAATAATGCAAAATTATTCTCATAGTAAATTATATATGATGAAACTGATTCACTTTTGAATTTCACACAAAAGCTTGTAAATTATGTTAAAGATACTGTATTAACTCATTTCTTAGAATAATGATGTTGAGGAGAATGAAAACGGTATGATTGAAGAATTAATCTGAATTCAATAATTCCAAGTACAACTTACACATTCGAATCAATAACATTGAAAAGAGTAAGATGAAATTGTGCGCAAAAATATCATTGTTCACACATACATACATACATACATACACACACAGATGAAATATACTCTGACGACAGTTAGTGTGGATTTCGTAAATAACTATATGCGTGAAGGGGATGCTTCATGTTAGAAACACCTTAAATGATCTAATTCGCCTTATCTTGGTTTTATCGATAAACTGTTACTCTAATGAATAAACAAGTCATTTGTAACTTTTTTTTCAATTCACATAACTAAACTGACCGGTTATTATGGTTTTGGTATCTTTTGTTATCGATTCAGGTTAGACTGATGACGTGAAAATTCCTATAGTTGGAGTTGCAATGCCTTGAAAACGGAGAGTGAGTAAATATACCAAGATAACAATACTAACAACAAGTACGACAATTATATTGAATCAGTTGCAATGAGGATAATGTATGGAGATGATGGAAGTTCTAACGCGCTAGGATTGGGTCCTGAATAAATCATTGTCATCATTGAATAAATAATCACTACCGACAAGTTGATCGGAAACAATCATCATTTTTCGTCCAACTTATTCATTATGTAGTCAGGTATGAAAGGCTATGATATTAACTGTATGCCCGAACAGAAGTAAACAAAGCAGGGTTCGAACCCGAAACTTAGTGTCGAACCTCTGAACCATTGAGCAACCGCCCCATAACATCATCATAATATCAAGAAAATCTGTCAAACAACAATTACTTGTAAGGTATATTAAGTAATGTGATAATAGAACAAATGAGAACTTACGGATTCTCTTCTGAATATGGAACAGCTGGATTTAATTTAATTGTTTGTTGTTCATTACCATTTTGCTTACTAGGTGACGATGATGAAGATGATGCTGACGAAGAAGACTTGTCAGCTGACTGTTTAATCGGTGAATTTTCACTACTACTAGTTGTTGGAGTAGTTAGTGAGCTGAAAAAGTTCACAATAGTCCCAATAATAATAAAAGTAATAACGATTATGACAATGATAGTACTACGAATGACTAACTACGATTAACATCACTACATACAGAAAGGATATTAATAAAATATAAACTAAGCAAAAGCCGGTAATAATTATATCGATGTAAGTAACAAGAGAAACAGTCAAGGGATTAATTCAAAGAAATGATTCAAGGAATTATAGTGAGAAGCTATGAACAGTGGAATCCAATCAAATGTGAGGGATTGAACGATAGGTTAACAATATCACGAAATACCACGACAGAACAGATATCAAGTGCTTTATAGTTTACATGGTTTATTTATAAGTAGTATGTTGTGAAACGTGGTGTCTAAGTTTCAATAATCGTCAGACGGAGTGAAGAGTCTCAGTACAGAGAAAGCACGACGTAGGCAAAATACTTGGAGAGAAGACAAGAAGACAGTTCAGATTGCAGAACACATCGAAATATGCAAATGGATAATTGAAGGCTATGTACATGTATTATGTAAACGCTTTGTAACTTCTCACAATAAATACAGATTCCTTCTGCATACTGCCTTATTTTACAGTCTAAGTACACTAATCAATTCAAATAAATTAACCAACAACGAACCATCTTAGTCGGGTAAGTGAAGATTAACTATACAAACTACTCAGCTAATAAACACTCACAAATTGATAATATGCAAAAATACGTTTATCGTTTGACAGAAAGTCACTATCAGACATAATACGTATAAAAACAAAAAACCTTACTTAGGTATATTTGACATTGGTGGTGCTCTAGACAATGGACATTTCAAACCAGGTGACTGGGAATCTGAACCATTCGGGCGAACCTTATCTGACATACTAAAAGTATTCATACGTCGTACAGATAACTGATCACCACCACTAGAGGATTCTATCATTATATCTTTACTTTCATCGATTTTCTCTTGACCAGAAGAATCATCCAGATTAGAGTCATTAGCACGTTCGCGTAGGTCAGATACACGAATACGTGGAAGCAGATGAGATCTACGTGCGTATTTAGAAAGCAAATTAGAAAAAAAAATTAAATAAATACAAAAACAATAATGCTAACAATGTTGGAATTAACCAATCACCGCATAAGCAACAAAAGTCCGCTTATATCTACGCTAGTATCTGTCAGATATTAACAACGTTGGATCTGGTACATGTGTGTATCTGTTCAAGTCGTCACAGCACATAAAGATAGAGAGCTAAATTATTAACACAAATATTAAAAGTACTAACATTATCAGTGGTAGTAGAAAAGATTAGGCATAAGCAACATGGTTCAAAAAAGAATAAATTAGAGGAATAAAAAGTTTAAGTTTCTAGACAACGACTGAATGCATCTATGCCGTTACAACTGATTCTGAGCCAAGTTATTCAATGTCTTTAACCTTTTGTTACTCTTGTGATGGGGAGAGTTTGTGTATTGATACTGATACACAATTTTCTTACACATGAACATGTATTATATATATCAGAAAAGTAGTCCGCCAATGGCTTACGTCGCATATCTTGGACAAATTTTCATTATCGTTCCACGACGAAATAGTTGTCTAGTGTTTTCTGGATTTAACTGGTTTTCAATATCGATGATATAAATCATAAATGTTAATATTGTTCTTCAAACTAAGTTACTTCATAAACTGATAGATTATATATATAAACCCCAACCAATGTTCATAAAAAAAACTTCGTTTAAGATGGATTTCAGAAAAAGGAAGGAGAGCTAGAAATATAGGAAGAGTTAGAGTTAGCAAAGAGGATCTCAACCGGAACGGTATGAAACAATAGTCTATGTTAAATATCATCAAGTCACTAGATTTTGTCTGTTTCTGTGACAGAGAAAATTTTCAGACAAAAAAAACTCAATACAAAATGATCTTGATGACGTCATTTTCACTGAAACTTGACACTAACTGGTAGCTAATGTAAACTTTTGGTAAACGATAACAAAGTTGAAAATGATACTTATTTTTTAATGGTAAAACGTGATTAGCTAAAAACAAACCAAAAAAAAATACCTGCTTCAATTTGGGCATCGAGCAGTATTACAGCCCACACACAAATCAAGTGACTTATGTGGCGCATATGAACAGTCACTATGAAAATGCATCTATCACGTTATATCGCAATTTTAATTTTATTATGGACGGTTATAAAATTTATGTGTTTGGTTGAAATACTGACCGCAGTCCAGGCTGAAGCAGGAGATCTACTCGGGAGACCTTTTTTCTGAGAATTAGAACTAATGGATACACCAGTGAAACTAGGTTAAGATATATCGTTCCAGGATATCCGCAGATAAAACTAAGTCCGTACCATTATTTCTTCCCTATAGATGCTGATCCAACGTACAACGTTAATTTGGAATCAAGGTTTTTCAATTTCCTTAGATGCACCTGCAATACGTACTAGTCCGGTTTAGGCATAGAAGACTGGCCCTTCTTTCTTTTACTTTCGCTAAAACTAACCCACAATGTGAAAGGAGTAAAAAGAGTTTCGCGAGTGATCTCATGAGAACATTTACAGATGTCATTTTATCCAACGAATAGACATCTAGAATAAACCAAATCTATTTTAAACAATCACAATGCAGTAAGATACGTAGAAGGTACATCGATTTACAACGATGTGTAAAATCCTGTCTTTGTGAAAGAAAAAGAAAAGATTGAGATTATAGCAATGTCTACTTTAATTATATGGTAAGTCGATTTGTTATAGCATTATTATCACTGATACCAGTATTATTATTTTGTTTATTATCTCACTGTATTAACGTAATGTAGATCTATGTACTTATATGCACCAGGTTCGATAATGTTTATGAATAACACATCAAAGTATTAACATCATCTGTTTCAAAATAAACATATTTCAAGTAGGCTAAATACGTATTATAGCCTATTGACAATAACCAAAACAAGAGTAATCATACTGAACAACATATTAAATAGTTTTATGACTAATATAATCATTACTGAATTAATTGACTGAATTGAAAAGGTTATATTATTTGTTTTTCTTTGAGATATTATCTAAAACAGTTAGTAAATAGAGTAGTCAGTCAGTCTTGAACGCTGTTAGAAGTATGAGGACGATTATCACTTCCCGGTTGCCCACACCGTGGAAGGGTTCTTCTGGAGGTACCTGAAAAGGAAAATGGATTAAAGATGGTCTTAGTGACCTGAGAGCGTGACCGCACTACCCAAGAGACAACTGCTTGTGGTAGGTCACACACGACGTTTTTGAGGGTAGTGTGCAGTCAGTGAAACATAGATTGAACAGTAGTATTCAAATACGATATCTTTGAGGAGGCATATTTAAATATAAACACATAAGCACAAAATACATGAAATGAGAAACAATTGCTGATGGTAATAATAATAATAACTCACTTTTCATCTACACTCAATTTCTCTTGCCTATTCGCTGTTGGACCAGCACTTGCACTGGAATTAAAAAAAACATTGAAGCGGTTTTGATGAAATAACAAGAGGACTAATCAGGGAGAGCTGAATCATTCAAACGATCACACCAGACATTCAATCACAGTTAACTCAATCAGCATAAGTTGACATATCACACAAATAGAAAGGATACTAACAAGATAATTAAACACACACATACATACAAACATACACACTGACATTTACATGAATTTATTTCAGTGGTGAAGTGTGAAAATTCAATTGATTTGCTAACCTTTGTTTCATCCAAGAGATACCACTGATCCGTCGTACTCCATTATATTGAGATCCAATATCGTCTTGTCCAGATTCTTCTAGGTGAAAAAAAACAGGAGAGATCAAAAAGTACGCTACAACTCGAAGTGAAATAATCTAAACTAGATTTAATTCATGAAAAAAAAACCAGTTGAGAAATATATGGACAAACAATAAGCGATAACTTTTCATAGGTTAAACAGTTAGGACAACAGGTTAAGAAAATATAAAAGGATTGATATTTTGGACACAAGAAGAATCCAACCATGAACAAAGTCAGTATGAATGCTATGAGGTAGTTGTGCAATTGTTACATTCCAGATTTTCGACTTCTTAAAAAGATACTTATACAGGAGGGACTTGAAAAAGAAACGGAGTTTGCAGTAGTCTCGACAACCATTGAACGTAACCACATGGATTAAATGGCAACTGCATTATGTCAGCCACATAAGACCATCTTGTAAGTAGTCTTGATGCATTAATTTGCACATTTCATGCCCTACTAGATTTGAACCCAGGACCCATCAGTTTCTTGCGCAAGCGCGTAACCACTAGCTCACTGAGCAGGTATCCAATGGTGTTAATATATATTTTATTTATTTATTTGAACACATAAATATTGGTACAAGAGTGCACCAAATATATATGCGCCACACAAAACAATGGGAATACGAAGAGGAAAAGGGAAATACAGGTAAGGAGCGCAAAAAAAAGAACAATAACGAACAGATTAAGGTAAGGTAGTGTAATAATAATAATGGTAATAATGGGGGAACGGAAAGGTACAATCAGAAGAAATCTATCAGTTAAGGAAGATAAAACCACTTTTTATGAAGAAAGTAAAAGAAGGTTAGAGCAGGATCACCACTGGCTTCTATTCTGAACCATATCTGATAACGTCTCTAGCCACTGTGTAGAACCATCTCTCGGACCCCAACCAGAGAGTCGTGAAGGACCAACACAAGCCAGTCCTTTGCAGCTTTCTTTCATGCCACGACACCATGTCATGCACTGAACACCTCTCCGCTTTCTCCAACCAGTCCCAGAGTCGGCAAATAATGCACGACGTGGAATTCTCTGGAACGACATTCGGAGAACATGTCCAAGCCACCGAAGTCGGTGTTTCAAGATGGTGACACCAATTGAATTATCATCTCTGTGCCCGAACACACGATGCCGAACCTCTGCATTACTGACATGGTGTTGCCACTGGATGTCAGCAATCTTTCGGAGACAGCGATGATCAAACACAGAATCGTCTAACATCCTCAACTCGAAGACCAGGTTTCACAAGCATAGAGCAGAACTGCTCTCACCGAAGCGTTGTAGATCCGACCTTTTACGGCCAGACTAACATCACGAAGGCGCCAAAGATAACCCAGATTGGCATAAGCCGCTCTGGCTTTCACTATACGTGTATTGATCTCATCACTCACGCCCCCACCAGCACATATGCAGCTACACAAATGCACGAACTTCTCAACTACTTCTATCTGCTCACCATCCAGGGTGAATGCAGGATTCGCTTTCGTGTTTTTAATTTCGTAAACAATAGTAATGCTGCGAGAAGGCAGTGACTGTATGCATGTGACCATGTGAAGGCATGTTTCGAAGGAGAGCTGACTCTCTCCACCGTCGACCGTACTCAAATACTGAGTATACACCACAGCAGATTGAAAACTGATAACAAGTCAACTGACGATTAACGCTTACAATTTACAAATGTGAGTAAATGAAGTACCATTTAAAAAAGTTGATAAATGAATGAAAATTAAAACAAATAAAAATTAAGTCAGACTAAGTTGTTGCATCATTTCGTGAAGTCATTAACCATTGTACAAAACCTTTTTGGATATTTATTTTCCTTGAGTCATATTCTGTATGTAAGTAATTTTCTAATACAACTGCTACTATTCTGTCTTAATCATTCTAACCTCCTATGTTAATATTGTGTAACAATTTGAACTGATCAATTTATCCCCCCAAGTTTACATGTCACTTAATAACTAAGTAAGAAAAGTTCCATCACGAATCTGAACTACACTTTTATTATATATAAAGGTTAATAGATGACTCTGTTGTATGTGTAGAAAAGGAATCAGACCATAGACTGTTATCACATGTGGTCTGTGTGCCCCGTCAATGTATAACGTGATGATACAGTCAATTAGAGACCAGTGAATTATCGACTGGACCAATGACGCATAAAACCCATGCGAGCAGTCTAGAGTCCTGCTTCCTGTCTAGCTCAGCCAGTTACGTCCAGAACATCAATCTCAGTCTCTGACATATGAATAATTAATTTCAAACATACTGGGTTTATATACCAACGAGACAGACCACATTGTACCATAAAATAGGAAACAACATTTGTACAAGTTTCAGTCAAATGTGGCTGTGAATGTGGGAGATAGTAAGTGATAGACAGAGCATAAATAAAGAATGGTAAATCGTGTAATAACAGTTCATAGGTTAAAATAAACCTTATCATAAGAGCAACATGACTATGAATAGTTCAATGACTGAAAAATTATACGATAAAAATATATGCATAGTATTGTTAGATAAATGGATCCCAAAAGTTACTAAATGTCCTTGTACGACGGAATGTAGTGAGATTCCGCTCTCCCTCTCGAAATGCTCTCACATGGCCACATGTATATAGCCTCTGCCAGGGAAGTCCTAATCACTGACTTCTCATGGCGGAGATGTTTATTATGAAATTGACAGAACGAAAAGCGAATGTCCAGTGCTTTAACCGGGTTTTTGTACACGGAGAATCCACCTAGAGAAGTTGAAAAACCCCGATTACAATCCAATGGTGTACATGGGACTAAACCTTCTTACGATGCTCCATTGCCTTGTGGATCAAACCTTTAGGTCGAAGATGTGGCACCCAGGCAGTATCACACCCCTCATACCAACCAAATAGGATTTGTGTGGTGGATATGTATCTGGTGCCTCCTTGTACCAATATCTATGTATCCACATCAATAAATAAATAAACACATAATTTATCAGGATATAAAAAGATCGATTAGTCTAAATCTAAATACATTAACCATAATCTTTATTGTTACAGTTTATTACATTTTTTTACAAATTGACATAGTGTAAAAGATAAATTGGATTGTCTTTATTACAAAAAAAATGTGATCAATAATCTGTACCACTACTATTTGACGAATATACATAAACCAAGTTATAGGTTAGTGTGGATGTGTGTGTGTGTGTGTGTGAGGGGGAGGAGTGTTCTTTTTGTGTCGTTTTCGTTACAAACTACATTTGAATATACACTAAACGATAAACTGTAGAGTAAAAACAAAGGTGAATAATCTTAAATTACTTATAAAATAGACAAGTAGAATACAATTATGAAGTGAAGTGAATTGAGAATACATGTGTCCATGTATAATAACACAATATTAATATGCTAATGAATTCAGCAATTCATCAAATACATTAGTTCAGTCAATGTTTAATTTTATTGTTATATAGTTTATCATTGCTAGAATTTACGTGATTTAACCAAATTATGGTTTACAAGTGAAAAAGATTATTCAAAATACAATCATTAATTAAGATTTGAACTATTCTTCACCTTTTCAGTCAGTCAATCAGTTACAATGTAGGACCAGGCACATATGTGCATCGGTTCAAGTTGCCATACCTCGTTCAGGTGTGTTAACGCAGACCAGTCCTGAAACAACAACTTGTATTTGGAAGAGGAGAAACGTATCTCAAATATTCTGGCATTGTTGCTCAGTGCTATCACAAGACTCGGCATTTTATCATCGTCTTCGCCAAACAGAACTATGTCATCTGCGTATTCTAAGTCGATAAGTGAACCTCCTGGATGGAAATCAATGCCTGATAATTCAGTCGATGAGATCATTATTTCCATCAGTATGTCTGTGATGAAGTTAGACAAAAATGGGGAAAGTGGACAGCCTTGACGGACACCACTTGAGGTTGTAAAAGTAGATGACAGTTCGCCATAAGCTCTGACTCGACTGGTAGTGTTCGAGTAAAGAGCCTTTACAAGGTTTATGTACTTCTGAGGTACGCCTTTCAATGACAGACACTGCCACAGAATCTCGCAGTCTACCGAGTCAAATGCTGCTTTCAAGTCTAGAAAGAATAGATTAGTAGCATAACTAACCTGTATATAATTAGTCTAGATTAAATACTGAAATAATGAGTTACATTAAATTTAAACGATGTACTAATATACAAATACAAACAAAATGTCACCTGCAAACGAAGTAGTATCGTTTAAGATGTTGGTTATTTAGAACGTTATAACAATATTATACAGCAAACAGTAAAACTTCACTTTCGTTCAAACTGCATAAACGCTAAGATAGTGTTAAATAAAAATGTCTGGTTGCTATGGAGGGATATTGTAAACAATGAAAATACATACATATCAATTATTATGACCCAGTTACTCTTATATTGCTAAGTACTCATGGACACGACTTCATTCAACATGCCCATAAATCGGAACACGGTTGAACAGGAATTTAATTATACTTCGAATAACAAGGTTGAATAGAGGTAGGAATCACAATAAAAAAAACGTTATTATATTTATAATTTTTACATAAGATTTTAATGACCTCTCCAATCTCCGTTAGCACTGATTGGTTGAGAAATAACCAATCAATGTGCTTCAATACAGTCCTGGACGGAACAGTATTTACCCTAATCTACACCCCACTAATAGTAATACATTTAAAAAAAATTGAGTGTCTACTTTAAATTTACACAATGATCTACTTTATGAAGATTTTAATATCACTTATTTTCCACTTAAAAATGTTCATTACGATTTTAAGTACGTATTGACCATGTAGTCTTAGTGACCAGAGAGCAAATTTGCCACACACACACACACACACACACACACACAAAGACACATATCACTGATTGATTTTGGCAAGACAATTATTGAAGATGACTTAGTTATCTACACTGATAACATACGATGATTTTTGTGTTACAAATCGACATTGGTTATAAATACCTGTCACGATTACGAGAATCCGTAGTTAGT